ACAGAGTTATACTCCCTATCTCCAAAGGGCTGTTACTGTTACAACAAATACAGTTGCACAAACAAATATACACAGCCTATGGTCTATGAGAACATCCTGCTGGATTCTACTCTACCCCAGAGGAATTCAGCTTTCTAACAGGGCCATATAAAGACTTCCAAACTTAGATTTAAATAACATGCCTCTTATTTTCTATAATTCTTTAACCGGTCCTTTATTGTTTAATAATGCAACCCTTACTTCCACATTGTGACATTGCTGTAAGATTCTATATCTTTGCATAGGCTGAGGCTTCACTGCAGCACCCCATCATTTTTGAGTGATTTTCTAGCTGCATTCCAGTAGTGTCTTGGGTTGAGGATATTACTCAGTAGTAGGGTGCTTTGCTAGCCAGTATGCATATTGACCTATAATTAGCATTCTGTATTGCAATTTGCTTTTTCCTTGACCATCTCTATCATCAGACCATTGTTCCTTATAAATATAGAATATCTTATTTATTGGACTTTATTTGACACTAAAGCAGTGGCCACACAATAGAAGTCATCAAGTGACCAAGATTGGATGGAGTGACTAGACTCTGAAGACAGTGAGTAAGCAAAGGCTTGTCCAACAAGGAGCTCAGGTGTAAGTTGGTGGATGATTACATCTCACTGTCTCAGTGGAGAGCAGGTTTCTCAAAGCTGAAAGAGCAGAGGATGGAGGACAGTGGGTAAAGGGCTAACGTAGCATTCCAGAAGCAGAAACCAAGCAAAGTGGTGAGCATCTGCAGTCCCAGCACTCCAGAAGCAGAGGCGAGAGCATCAGAAGTTCAAGGTCATCCTGGGCTTCAGAGTGAATCTGGGTTACATTAAACCCTGTCCCAGAAAACCAAAAGACCAAAATAAAACAAGGCTGCAAGAAAAATACCCATAGGACACTTGGACAGCCTATCTGTGGGTCATGAAAGATTTTAAATAGGTGAACACAGTTAAGCAAGATGGAGGATAAGGTCATGAACTTGACCAGTTTCCTCAGCACCACTGACCTCTATCTTTGGAAAACCATGTAATGCAAAAATAAGCAGAAGTAATGACTGTGGGTGGGAGAAAGCAGCAGAGAAAATAAGTAAGTCACAGAACAGTCATTGTCCCTGTATTTGAATAATGTGTGGAATCCAGGAAAGGTTTTAGTGCATGATGTATCCATTACAACTCCACAGGTGTCTCATTTCACAGGAAAGGCACATTCTCCTCATGCATGCTCCCAGTGTGGTGGCCCTCAAGTGGGAGTCCACAGCCTGTCAACATCATCATCTATTCACATCCACAAATGAAATGGGAACAGCACACAGAATTGAGTTGGAGAGCTCTAGAAAAATCATCCCTCACTCCAAGAGAAAAAGCAAAAGGTTTAAAAAAAAAAACACAGGAGCCACGTAAGTCAAGTTAGGAAGGCACTCAGAACAGATTTACACAAGTTAAACAAAAGGCCTTCAGAGGAGAATATTTCAAAGCAAATTGCTTCCAGAGTTTTACAGCCTAAGGGCCTGACATCTGTAGACAGCCAAATGCCTAGAGGAGACTAACGAGAGGGAGGATGCACATTAACAGCATACGAGCTAAATTTATAGCACAGCTTGAGAGATACAACATGATCAAAAAGAAAACGAGGCAGAGAGGAGGTGGGAATTACTCTAACATTTTGACAGTGTTTTACTTTATATTTTACTGGATAGGAATACAAATATTTCCTTTAGAAAGTGATATTTTTCTTTTAAATATGATTATGTAATGAAGAGAGAGCTTGAGAATTCAGTAGAATGGGGCTTAGTTATCCTTCTATGGAATTGCTGACGAATTGGGTATCTGCTTTGAATCACTGCTTCCTCATTTGAGTAGTGAACATGTAGACCTTACTGTTCCCTATTGCTGTGAATATTCCCTGCATGGCAAACAAATTAAATGGAACTTGGAAGAAACTAAATAAATATGACCGGCTTTACAACAAGGATTCAAGATTTTCTTGCATTTTTTTAAAAAAAGTTTATGTTTATTTATTTGTATCTGTGTGGAGATCTGCATATGTTAGTACAGTGGCCATGGAGTCATGGAGATGGCATCAGATTCCCGAGAAATGGAGTGATAGGCAGTATGAGCTGCAGGAGGTAGGGGCTGAACTCAGGTCCTCTGCAAGAGCAGCACTCCTTTTTTTTTTTTTTTTTTTTTGCTTTTTTGAAACAGGGTTTCTCTGTGTAACTTTGTTCCTTTCCTGGAACTCACTCTGTAGACCAGGCTGGCCTTGAACTCACAGAGATTCTCCTGCCTCTGCCTCCCGAGTGCTGGGATTAAAGGCGTGTGCCACTGCCACACGGCTAAGAGTAACACTCTTAACTATTGAGCCATCTCTCTAGTCATGAGATTATTTTCTTAACAGTGCACCAAGAATTTCAGGTCACTAATTTGCTTATTTATTTAGTTCTTTTATTGCATTTAATTGCATATTATTTTGGGGGGCAATGGGGTAGGGCATGTGCATGCCACAGCGCATTTGTGGATATCTGAAGAATCCATTTTCTTTTTCCACTGTGTGACTCCTAGGGACTGAGTCGGGTCGTCAGGCTTGGCAGCAATTGCCTTTACCTCAGAGTCATCTAGGTGAAGCCCAAGTCATTAGTTAAGGAAACATTTTTTTCTTATCTTGGAAAGTCCATCTGACTTGGATAAACAGCCCACCCTTGACTAACCCAAGGTGAAGAGTGTTCTTTTTTTTTTTTTTTCTTATTCATCCTATGTTCACCTTCCCCTAAATGGCAAGGGAATACTTACTTACCTTACTGCATCCTGGAACTTGAATGTCACGCCCCCAAATCCAGTTATTGAAAATTCTCACCACCAGAGGGGTCAAATATACAGTAATGCCTTTTAGAGGTGATTAGGGGACAATGATGTGGCTGAGCAAGTAAAGGGGATTGCTGCTAAGCCTGACGCCCCAAATCCATTTCTGAGAATCCACATAAAGGTGAAAGGAGAGGAGAACCATCTCCACAAAGCTGCCCTGCAATCTCCCCTGTGTGCCTGCCACATACATGCACATGTGTAGACATACACAAAAACGTTAAAATAAAACTACAGAAAGGTGACTAGATCAAGATCCCCCCTCTCAGCAATAGAACAAAGGCTTGTATAAAAGAGGCTTCACACAGCTTTTAGTTCCCTTTTCATTCTGTCTTCGTAAGGCTACAACAAGGCATCATCTTAGAATAATGGAGCAGTCCTCAGCAGAGCAGCAGACTTGATGGCCCTTGAATCTGGGAAACATTTTATTATTTCAGTTTAATAGCATTTACTTTCTATATGTTAGTAGTATATTCACAGTGTTTGCGGTGTGTTGTTGTTGTTGTTATAATTGTAATTTGAGACAGTGCCTTTCACTGAACCTGGGGCTTACAGAATCAGATACAGTGTGCAGTCAGCATGCTCCAGGTATCCTCCTGTCTCCACCTAGCCATGCTGGGATTCCTGGTTTGTAACACTTCATCTGACATTTTGGCTGAATGCTGGGGATCTAAGCATGGGATATCACACTTGTCTGCGGGACACTCTATCCACCGGTCTGCCTCATCTCCCACTTTAAACTACACCCTTAACACCCTGTTCTCTTCCCCCCCTTGGGTGACTTCTGCGGTTTTCCTCTCTGTTATGCCACGTTTGCCCTGCTCTACCATGTTTATATTAGTCTATGTGTAGAGTCTTCACATGGGCTTACGGCATTCACTAGGACTTTCAGGGGGAAAGCTGCAAGATAAAACAATCATTTGACAACAAGCCCGACCACTATCCAAATCAAATGCAGTATAAAGCATGTGTGCATCTCAATTCACTTTCCACAAGGTTTAGACTCCAAAAAGCTTGAATACCGTTAAGATAAGTACAGTTTATGTTTAAAGCCAAGAATGTCAATAGAAAGAACCAAGAAAAGGCAAAAAAGAGTAAAGTATGAATATGTGGTAAAACATATGAGTCAGAAATCTGAGAAATAATAGAGAAAATACTGTGGAATGTGTACAGAATAGTAAGCAGCAGCCATAGAGGTCCATTTAATCAAAATAAAGTCAAAAGAAAGCCGTTCTAAAATGTCACTACATTAGAGGCTAAGGTTAGCCATCATAGTCCGTTTCTGCATCCCTTTCACCTCTCTGTGGTCATAAAGATCATTGCCTGTCTAATTGGCAGGGTGGATAGGATCCATGGGGACTAGAAATGTCAGAAGTCCGATCTTCCTAGCAGAGTATTTTGATAACAGGACCTCAGTTCCTTCCTTCCTTCACGCCTGGGAGGAAGAGAGGCATGGCCAATGGCAAGTCCTTCTCCTCAACCACACCTTGGAGCAGTCTTGTCCTCCTGTCAGTCAGTATCTCACTAGCCCCCACTCCCAACTTGCCATTATTTGATGGTTGAATTTAAAACTATGACAACCCTATGACATAGCAATACCATTACAGAAGGTTTTTCTGAAATATTGGATTATATGTTTGTAGAATAAACACGCGCAAGAGTGTATAGGAAGAAAGATCCCCAAATGGTGAACTAGGGACACAGTAGGAGACCTCAGTCCAAGTGTTCAAATTCATTAGCCTATGGGAACCATTTCTCATTCAAACCACAATAGTATGTAACTCCATATAGAACAATGAGCTATAGAGTCACAATTAGAGTAAAAATGTAAGTAGAATACTGTGAGAAGGGAGAGCTTGCTGGCATTAGTACTTAAGAGTCTGTTACACTAAGTGAGACCAAAGACAATATAATATCAGTATGCAATCCTTTTTAATAGAGTGTGGGTTAGAAGGGATCCAACATATTTTAGCCATTCTTGGAAAAGACTAAATTATAAAACCAGAAACATTTATCGTTTAAGAGAAAACAAACAGGGCAAATTATTAGGAAGTGAACATTTTTCATTTTATCTGTGAGGGTTCTACATTTAGATATAGTAGCCGTGCTATTGAAACCACAGATGTACTTTCCTGGCAAAGGAGATAGTGATCAAGAAGGTGATTTTTCCAGGGTGAGACTTTCATTGCACTCCCAATGTGCTGACCACTGCAATTTCTCTAGAGGTATGAAACTTAGCTACATCATTTTTGGAAGAGGGAGACTGTGTTCCCACTTTCCTGTTTATGGTAATTTTTAAAAACTAGTTCAGGGGACTTAAGAGATGAAGAGCACTTGCTGCTCTTGCAGAGAACTCAACTCCAATTCCCAGCTCTCATATCCAAGACCTCACAGCCACTAAAACTGCAGTTGCAAGAACCCGTGCTTTCTTGGGCTCCATGGGTGCTTGAACACATTCATAAGCGCACACACACACACACACACACACACACACACACACACACACACACACACCACACATTAAAAATAAATCATTTAAAAAGGAACAAAAACAGCACCATACATGTTTCTATAAGTGCTGTGGGATGTTCTGTATGTCCTGTGGGAGCCCGTTCTTGGGTTCTTTGTGGCGTTACCCAGCAGGTCCGCATAGAGGATGATTAGGACCATGGGCCTGAGTGCAGGTGTCTGAGATGGTCTGCACTTGGCTGTGCTGGGGGATGGTCTGTATGTCAAGTTGTTCTGATTGATCAATAAATAAAACCTGATCGGCCGTGGCTAGGCAGGAAGGATAGGCGGGACTAACAGAGAGGAGAAATAAAAGGACAGGAAGGCAGAAGGACTG